CGACTCCCGCTGGGGGTGTTGATGAGACCGATGCGAGGTCGAGACTACAGTCCACTGGTGCCTGGATGAGAACAACTTTTGGGAAAACAGGGCTTTGCGAAATTCAATGGAAGCTCTACTCATATCATTGAGGGAAAATTCTACTACCAATCCTTCATCACCTTAGACGAAATAGAAGGTTTCGAATGTTCGGCCGGATAGTAATACAATTCTATATTTATTGCTTTTCTTTTCCTTGTATTTAACTCAGTGGTGCACAATAACGGACTGAAGTTAAAGGTATTTGAGTCACCTAACTTCGGCCTCATTTCCTCACTTTGAAAATGAATCTTGACTCATGCTTTGCCAATTTGCGTATCTAGGCTCCATTTTCACCTTCAACCCACTTTTTCAACTTTCATTTCCATTTCCATCCCCTATCACTCTGTCCTGATGGCGTCATGACTGCACGCTTTTGATCTGTTGACACAACAATTCGTTTTCACCCACTTGGCGTGAATGCAACTACATGTTGCCATAGCTGGCTTATCCAGCCTCATTTGGGTTTCTTTAATCATTTAAACCTTGCTGTGCCGAATATTCAGCGATTCAATCGCTGACTTTGATGGATTGCATTCCTGCAGAGTGTGTTGGTTCATCTCCCGGGTCCGACTTAGTTTACTTGCCAATAATGGCGTCAGAAAGGTCTACAAATTTATATCATTTCTTAACTTTTATCAGTAAAGCTAAGCTTGTAAAGAGAATGTGTTAAGTATTCCGGGATATGAGTTTCTCTAAAAGCTATTGTAGTATATGCCATTGGAAATCGCTCTGTAAAACCTTATAAGCTCACAGGCACCCTTTTGGGGCTTGTGGCTCATCTATTAAACGCAACATCAGAGATCTCGGAATAACCAAATGGTAACCAAACGAAGATACTTAACGCATCAGGCAAATATTTGTTTCTAAACCTTATGTCCGGCTCCTTTATTTTAGCGGCAGTGTAGAATTTGTCTGATTTAATTTTCCAATCGAGGTCGTATGTCATAACGACCGCAAAAAGAGTAACTTGTTCGATGTCCTGTGCTATAGTAGTCATGATAATCGCGAGAGGATCCTATGTTTGGTCAAGACAGACAATTACATGCTTCGACGTCTTTCTGGTACTGTATTCAGTATTTTTCGAATTAAGTATTGTTTTCTTGACTACCAGTAAATCAGTAATATGAGATGTATTCACACAATTTCGTTTAAGGTGGTGAAGGACTGGTAAAAGAAGAATTTTCCCACAATGATATAAGTAGGGCTGACGTTTCCATTGAATTTCACATAGCCTTGCTTTCC